GACGTAAACGTTCTACTAAATCGCTTCCTAGATTCCACCATTAAACCATGGGTGCAAGATGCAATGACCGCTCTAGCACAGGAATTTAGGACCACCCAAGCGGTTCGGTCTGAACAGACACCACCCCAACCTTCCCCTGAACCGTTCATCTCCCATACACAACCCATATCCTCCACCCCTCTATCCCACCAATCCATCAACCAAATTCCTATCCCTTCTATTTCTCGGGGAACCCAGAATACAGAACCAGTATTCTCCCCACACCCGACCACACCCTCCATCGATCTCTCCTCCCTATCCTTTGACACCCTAGCTTCGGCTTTGCTGAATAACCTCTTGAATACCCCAGAAGACGACCTCACTCTTCATCAGCAAGCCATACTTGAAGCTCTTCTTTCCTCACCCGAAACCAAGAGTACTTGCAAGGAGAGTCTTCGTGGTCGCAAACGTTCCCATGAGGACCCCGATGATTCGGATCCTCATGAGGGGGAGAACAAGCGACCTCGATCACTTGAGCAAACTACTCTTCCAAGCCAAACTCCACAGCCAATTCAACCTGAAACCTCAACAAACCAACAGCCACCATCCACAGCCAAACTCTCTAGCGTGGTCGAGCTAGAAATTACATCCCGAGGCGTATCTCCTAGAGATACCAACCGAGGAGGGGATGGAAGTCCTGATGATGATACCACTAGTACATCTTCTCCATCAGGCCATCAGTTGTAACCTAGTTCTAAGCTGATGTCAACGGGCTATCCTAGTGAACCCGGTGGTGCTACACAGGAACAATCACCGCCTAAACAAAGAACTCCATATATCTCCCCAGGCAAAGACATCCATGATGCACTGGAAGAGGCGGTGATATACGACAAATGGCCGAGAAAATGGACAGAATGGGATGATCTCCGGGTTGAAGCCGAGCAAGAGGACATGCAAAGAAACTGGTGGCTACGAGAGCTTATTAACAAATGCTCTGAAGATATCATAAGGCTCGAGGACGATGAACGCAAGGAAGGGGAGAACTACAAGGAATCCCAGAAAGCTCTTGAATCGGCCGTAAGACAATCAGCGGGAAGACTTCCCAAGACAGAGAAACCCTGGGACAACGTTCGAATCAAAGCCCCCTTCCAAGAAGAAATCAGAGAGCATATCTGGCGTAGACCAGACAAAGTCAAGCCACTGAACGAACTAAAGCTAAGAGGCCTTACACACTTGAAAGGAAAACAGGCTGGAGGTCATCTGCATATGTTGCTGCAAAGGTCAACCGGTACACACAGAGAACTGATGGAACAAGATCTGAAGTCGAATATTCTCCCGATTCATCAAATTCTACAAGTAAAAGCTGAAGACTATCATGGAGTAACATTTTACACTTTCAGACTTCAACGCACCGATGGGAGCGAATTCACTTGTCAAGAGAACGACTTCATCATGCTGAAACCGGATGACATCTATCAAATGCTCATGGCCTACAGATACCTTCCAGTCAGGAAAAACATAGTATACAGCGAAGGCCTCGCAGCTATCAAGAGATTCATGCTTAGACAGATCCGAGTACACTCCTCACATGACCTACAAATGACTATTGAATGCAATCTGAAGAAGACAAATCTGACAAAGCCAAAACTGTATGGTCCAGAACTTGAAGATTTCCCAGCCTATCACATCTTCTTCAAACCGCCAGCAGTCACCTACCTGAACCACAAGAACGAAAAGCGTCTGATGGTAGTCAGTGAAATCGAGAAATACTGCGACGGAACACTGAAGATAATCAGAGAGCAGATTCTACAGATGAAGGCAAAGCTGGAAGAAAATCTTCAAGAGGCATCGTCTTATGTTCAAAAGGAACACTCTACTGTGGAGACAATTTTAAAGGCCATTGACGATCGCCTCGAAAAGAGAAATATGCTAAGACAGTATGAACATGCACTTGGATTGAGGAAACACTACTTCAAATCACAGAAGCAATAAGAGAATGACACTTGATCACAAAGGGGGAGATTGTTGGAGATATTTAATTGTGAATCAAGTTGGTCATAGATTAGCTTTGTATTTAATCCTTGTATTTAATTAGTGCATAAATTAGATAGAAATCAGGCCAAGTGTTAGGCCCATTTAAACAGGCCAAAAGCCTGTTACGCCTAACCTAAACCTCGCCTATATAAAGGGAGCCGAGGTTTAGGAAAAGGTTGAACGTCGTACTTATTATTCATAGCCTTACGCTTATATCATTCTGCTGTACGTTCCACGGTTTATCAAAGAAGGTTTTACGGTGATTCATTCTGTGTTCATCTTTACGTTTAATCTTCCTTGTTAGATCGATTATTCATTGCTGTGAAAGAAACAGGGACTAGCAATTGGTATCAGAGCCGAGGCGTGAAACAGGTTGGATCTGTCTGCGATTTTTGGATTTAACGAAGAACTGCTCTGTTTTTTTTCAGTTTTTCTACATGTAGAGATTTGCTCCTGTAACCTCGTTTGTGAACGAAATTTTGTAAAAATCATACTGTTGGATTCGCCTTTCAAAACCGATCCAGCAGCATACCTCTTTTTTCGTTTTCTGCAGTTTTTGTTTTTCGAAGATCTCTACATTGAGATCTCGAAATCCTCTTTTTTCACTGCTGCAGAAACGTTTTTGGCTTGAGATCTCTAAACCTTGTCTTCAGGATCTGGATTCAGAATATCAATGGATGATTGCCTAATTACTAAAATACACTGTATTTACGCAAAAAGTGCTCTATTTTCGCTGAAAACGCTAAATCATAGAGATAAGGCTAAGTAGTTGTGACACTCATATCTTGCTGTGTGTTTATCCTTTTGGAGCGTATTATATCTCGTTGGAAAGATAGATCGGAGCTCTAAAGCTATTGTTCCAACTTCATTTACAATGCATTAATTAATAGTTACAGATTAACCATATATTCACAAATGTTTCTGATTTCACTCCGAACTCGTGTAGAATTTGATGCGATCACATCATGCTCTATTTTGTGCCGTTGAAAGCGTTAAATATCTCGTTGGAAAGATCTTACCGAGTTCTAAAACTTCTCTTCAGGCGCGGGTTTCAAAGTATCAAGGGATGATTGCCTAATTACTGAAATACACCGTATTTACGCTAAAGGTTCTCTCTTTTCGCTGAAAACGCTAAATCATAGAGATAAGCCTAAGTATTTGTGACACTCATAGTCTAGGGATACTCCCCAGAACCCATACTCACGCGCCCTCACTCGCAGTCTTTGAGGGTCAAAACGTTAGTTTTCCGACAAACATTCTAAATCACCGATGTCCAGGTCAAAACTTAGGCAAATCTGTTCAAATTCTTTCAAAGTCCACCCTGAGGTCAAAGCTTTTCTAAACTTCAATGTAAAGGTCTGAAAATCGTAGATAATTCAATCTACCTCGCGTCAACGGTCATCTTACAACAATCAACAATCAACTGCTGAAGCCTCCCCTGACTCGTCAACATTATGTGATCATCAATATGCTGAAATTCTACATGGTGAGCTCAGGGAAACCGTCATGTGTGGTACATGTTCAGATTGCTCCACACACATGGCGGGTATGACGAGCTGTGAGCAATCAAACCTTGCACATTCTGAGGGGGAGTTTCAGTTTTCTCCTCCTGGCGCCTTACACCGACAAAGCAAAGAATCTCTCAACGGATGCAACATTCTAGGGGGAGTGTTCAATGTTATCCTCCCCGGTGCCTAACTATGACAAAGCATACCGGGTGCTCCAGTTGAGGGGGAGTATAGAGAGAAAATGAAGAAAGTAATGAGAGAACATGTCCCTATGGCTTAGTAAACCCAACTAAGCCTACCCAAGGGACAAAGCCGAGCGTAAGTGCGTAAGTGAGCGAGTGAGTGAACATTATGAGCATTAGGAAGCAGAAGGCTCGAGTGAGAAGGAAACAATTATCAATGATGAGTCTGCTACCTCAACTGCCTGCTATGAATTGACCATTTGCTCCTAGCCACTAAAATACTCTGGACTATCCCCATAGGTTCAGGACTGAATTTATTCAGATCCCGGGTAGAAGTCGCTGCATTTTGTCCAAACGGCGCATGCACAACCCTACCCTAGACCACTCACTTGTCTCCCAACAGACAGGTGTTTAATCATAGTTCACGGGGAACCGCATCTCTCATTACTGTCTCCTTCCGAGGCAAGTAATACTGACTACAGTGGCCTCAGCCCCATGCCACTGAATTTTCATTGATCACGTCGTGTCTAGTTACTCACTTCCCAAATGTTTTGAAATTTTCTAGGACACAGACACATTTTAGAGTCAGTTGCTAGTCTTCAAGACTTGCGAGAACTTCCATAGGGCTCATCTATTACAGATGTAGACCAATAATTGGAAGGAAGTCCTGCTGTTGCAACATAAGAATCACCAACATTTTCAGGCCATTGCTTTAGAGTTTATCTCTATAGTGATGATAACGGGCGTCTTCACGACCCCGGGGGGCTACGTTATCTTTTTTTTATTCTGCTTGTTTTTCATGTTTTTATTTCCGCAGAATAAAGGTGTAACACTTGAGATTTAATTTAAATGGATTAATAGTACTACTCATACCAACAGAGGTGCATCTCCTTTTAAGGGAGCTCATCACCCAAGAATTCCAAAGTTAAGCGTGCTTGCACGGGAGTAGTCTTGGGATGGGTGACCCCCTGGGAAGTTTCTCATGGCGCGCATGAGTGAGGACAAAGTGCGCGGTAAAGGCTCGTGGTGGTTTGTGGGGACAGTACTAGAGGTCTAGAGTAACTACCTCGGGGCCTACGGGGCCGGGGTGTTACAGGTGGTATCAGAGCAACCCTGCGACAGTGTGCTGATCCGTTGGATATCGGGCGGGCACTTAGCAGGGGAAAGATTCTGGGATATGATTGAGATTGGTTTATGGGCGCAACGAGGACGTTGCGTTCCTAAGTGGGGGTGATTGTAACACTTGAGATTTAATTTAAATGGATTAATAGTACTACTCATACCAACAGAGGTGCAT